TCCCACCATCATACCAGGTAAAGACTTGAAGTGTGCATGCGCGCTATGATGAGAGCTGAGGCTTATAAGGCTCTGAAGGCAAGAGCTTGACAGGCAGAATATAATCGACGGTTACCCTTGCTTGCACTTGTTTGGTGTGTTACGGGTCATGGAGTATAGTCATGATGATGGTGATGGGGAAAAAGACAGAGCGAAGGGGTGACGTATAATCTTTTGTTCACTTAACTTCAAGCTTGGACTTAAGTAAACTTCGCCCCTTATTGAATACTAAATTGAATTACGGCCAATCGTATGCTCAGAAATATAGAAAATTCACTTAGTGTCCCATTTTGCCTCTCCAACTGAGAGGGGAGTGTACAGTTGGCGCTTCAGATCGATTGTGAGATGTGGACAAACAAAATAACAAATGCTTGGGACGGCACTTGGGATGGCGCTCATTGTGGGGTTCAGAGAGTATGATTTTCTGTTTTAATTTTCAGTACGCTTTCTCAATTCTTTCTTTTTCTCTCTTTGACACTTTCCACTACCAAACCCGTTTTTCAGTCTGAGGCGCGTGAAATATTTTTTCTTTCGCCTTCTCAATAACCTGCAAACAAATTCGTGTGCAACCTTAGATTGTGCAACGAGGGAATGAGGTGTTTCTTTCATTGGCTCACTTTACATTTTTCTACCCAAGTTTTTGATGGGTTCAGTTCTGTGTAATGAGGCATTTGCATGATTGGTCTTTCATGCTTTCCTCCAGCAACGAAACAGCCCAACTTAGATTTATTGTGTAGCACACAGGATTGATGTTTCTACAGCTAAAGCTAAAGTACAATTTGCTTGCTGCTATGGCAATGGCTTCTTTGGCTTCATAGAAATCAAACATCGATGGGAAAAGTTGACAGATTTTGTAATTCGGGTTGATTGTAGACATGAAATGTCTGTCTTTATTCATTTGCTGAAATGTAATAAGCTTCTTCTGTCCTCTAGGAACCAGGTTCAGGTAGAGTCTCTGCAAAATGATACCGGTAGGGTGGCAGAACATCCTTCTTCGTAAATCTGTCAGCCAAACACCCTATACAGGCAATGTGTCTCTCACTCCTTGTTTGCTCGAAACACAATATCTTCAGAGTGCAAGAAACATTGACTGCATCTTCGCGACCGCAGAAGCAACATAAAAAAAGCATATCAACACACATGTTGAAAATGAAAAGTGTTGCGGAATGAGAAAAACAAAAGTGTTGCGGAATGAGAAAACAAGTGTTGCGGAATGAGAAAGACAAAAGTGTTGCGGAATGGGAAAGACAAAAGTGTTGCGGAATGGGAAAGACAAAAGTGTTGCGAAATGAGAAAAACAAGGATGGTGAGCTTAAATGTACTAGCAACAGAACGAAGGAGGGAACAAGTGCAGGAACAAGAGGACACGAGGTAGGAACACGAGAGGCAGGGGACAAGAGACAAGGGCTAGAACGGATGATCTTTATTATACAGAGAGATAGAGGTATTTATACTAATATACAGGGGGCGCAGTGGTGGAGGCGCGGTGATGGGGGCGTGGTTGAGGGCTAAGCAGAAGGTTAGCCTAGGATACTATCACATTAAATGACGTTAACGATATAAGCCGCATCCTTTGAGCAACGTTACGTGTTTCTGACAACGTGACAGCAACTGGAAGTTACGGCTCTCAGCGGACGGAGGGTCGCTGTGTAGGAATGGTGTCTTGGAGAATCTGTTGGATAAGTCTATTTGTTCCCTCTGCGCTGGGTGCCAACATTCTCAATGGCGCGAGTGAGATGAATTTGGAAGCTTCTCTTGTTTTCGCAATTAAATCTCCCCATAAGCTTTAGCTGTAGAAACATCAATCCTGTGTGCTACACAATAAATCTAAGCGAGACCGTTTCGTTGCTGGAGGAAAGCATTAACGACTAATCATGCAAATGCCTCATTACACAGAACTGAACCCATCAAAAAATACCGATGAGATTCTGTATCAACTGTCAATGTTGTCATTACCCTCATTTTTTTCCCAAGCATAGCAGTGGGCTCAAATTGTACTTTAGCTTTAGCTGTAGAGACATCAATTACATACGTGAATGAGGTACCATTCGTCGCCTGAATGTACAAAGCGAAGTTGATCGATGTGACGACTAAAGCCTATTGTTCGACAGGAAGAGACAATGGGTATCCTACGCACTCCCACTCCAGCCCCTTGTTCATCTCGTAGAGGCCGCGTCAATGGGCGATCGATGAATATATTTTTGAATAGAACTCTTTACACCCTAATCGGGACTATAAGTGTTTTCAACAGACTAAATACTCATCCCAATAGGGCCAGCTCCCCATTTTGGAAGGTGGGCTCAGGGCCGCTCCACACATGCAAGGATGATGCATTAAGGGAATTTAACCCATGGGTGCCGAGGCACCTCCTCATCGCCAACATCATCGTCAACAGGCATCTGAATGGCAGGTCACCTTCTATACCCTAATTTTCTCTAGCAGACTCCTCGCTCTGATATGACTCCAATCGCCTTTTCAACACCTACCATTTTCCCGATACCTAGTAGACACGATCAGTCTACTCCTCGTCAAACCCCGACAAGGCGCGTCCATAAGGACTCAAACGGCATACAGGAGTATGTTAGTCCTTGTCGCACCCCGGCAGGACGCGTTCACCACAACGCAAAAGGCATGCAAGAGCGTGTTAGTCCTTGTTGCACCGCGACAGAACGCGTCCACCACAACTCCAAAGGCATACAGGAGCGCGTCAGTCCTACGAGAACCCCAAGGCTTTGCAGATGCAACAGGTACAACTGTTTATTCGAGAATGATGTCATGGTCATAACCATGCTGCGCCTAGTTTCTAGAGCATTCCAACACAACTGTGTCTAGTATATAAGAGCCCTTCAAACGTAGGATTAGACAGCAATCAATCATCGAATAAACCTCTGATTCCACCCTAGAACCCCTCCGACTCCTGACTATTTGCACTAGAAAACGCTAGACTGCAACTCACTTCCTATGCTGCCTAATTACTTCTACTCACGTTTTCCAGGCCTTTCCGGCTCCCTTGTTCCCGGTGTGGTGTAGTGGCTCTATATCAGGTAAAAGTACTAGCTGTGAATATGTTGCTCAATAAAAGTCTCTTCTGCTTTACGGAGTCTCTAGATAATAATTATCTTACGGTGTATGGATAAAGCTCCAGATGTGGGGGCACTGGTAAGAGATCTTTCAACGATGAGGATAATAAAGACAGCAAAACTATTTACGAGAATAAGAAAGGCGACAACACACTCGGGTTAGGGATCTGCAAGGTCAAAGGGACTCTGTCTTGACTCCTGTGTCCAGACGTCGGCATCGAGGGGTACTGTTCTTGATCCTCCGCTCTTGTTCGTTATGAGACCATGATCATTACCTGTCGTGGGGGCAGGCAGGTAATGTGAGCGGACTCGCAGGAACACTTGGGGGGGCACTAGAGGTGCAGCAGTTCAGACGCACGGGTCCCGTCTCTACTCTTGCTGGGCGATATGCTATGAAGGCCAGCTGTGGCAGAGTATACCGATCGAAGGGTACAGTGTGTTGGGACAGGGATGCGTGGAGCGACTTGGAGTGTCGTGCGGGGGCAAGTGTTGAGCAAAGTATAGTGAGGAAACAGACCAGGAACCATTTGGTCCTGTCGTTCTGTGATATTTATTGACCAAAGAAAATTTCTATAAATGCATGCAAACCCTATTGACTCTTGTCTAATTGCATGTCCTTCTACTTGCACATCCTGTAACTGCACGTGCAGCACGTGCCTGGTATGACCGTATGAGTGTCCTGTACCTATTCCTCCCATCGTGTCATATCAGGTGTTGTGTCCGTCCCTTGTACCTGGATACCCCGTCTATACTCCGTGTGGGTTTACCACACCACACCGATCGCAGTGGCTCTTACGGGTCGCATCGTCGACCATACAGCTAGCCAAGCGAGTACCAGATCCCCGAATTGGCCGCGGTTGGATCTATCTCGTCCTCATCGGCGCTTGCGATGAAGTGTTCTTACGGGTCGGGTCTCCAGATATTGAGCGTATGCCTCGTTATGGGCGTCATGTTCCCGTTGACGTCGTGCATCCTCGAGCTCGTTCCCCAGTACGCAAACAACACGGAACGCCATCTTGGACTCAGGCGTATTCAGGGGTATGGCCGCCATTCGTTCCTGTGCCTCCAGCAACTGTATCCCCAAATCTGTCACTAAGTCCCGTCGCCTTTTTCGATTCGCAGCTTCGTGACTCGAATAGGACTCTCCCATGTCAACCGTGGCGGTAGCGACGTCGACAGTGGTGATCGTGTTTGCAAGAACAGCAGCGGTGCTTGACGGCGTGTCTCCAAGCTCGAGCATCTCTGGATCGGCTTCGTCATCCTCGAACGTTGCGGTGGTTGAGAGGTTCAGTGGTCGAGTAAGCAGCAGAGGCGCGAAGATGGGTGTAGGGGTCGGAGAGGCAGCTAGAGGGATCATGGTTGCTGCCTCCAAGCGATCCGGTTGCTGAGTGGCGTCGTATGTGTGTACTCCGACGAATTGACTGAATGCAACGCTGGGGTCCGAATGCTGTGACGCATTGTTAGTCTCGGGTGAACTCTCCGGGGTGTCTTCACTGCTTGTCGATTGTGTATGATCGGGGGAGGAGGGCTTCTCCTCTTGGTGCGATTTGGGCGAAGTACGAGTCATGGTGCAATGGTGTGCGGGGGGCGAGAGGAGAAGAGGGGTAGCAGTGGAAAAGTGAAGCGAAAGGAATGAGGAGCGTGAAGAAAAAGGGGATGAGGACCATCTCATCCACTTATAAATGGCGA